CCCATGGTCCCTTCAACATGTGAGTACAGCAGGGACCCAACTGTGACTAAGTCCCAGGTGGCTCCTTGCTCCCTCCTTGTCTTAATTTATTGCCTGAACGTGCTTGTTTGGTCTCTGCTGGCTGGAGCTATCAGTGCACATGGAGGTGATGCTTCTTCCCATCTGCTCCACACACACATGGAAAGATGCAAGACCAGCTCAGTTTCTCTACCCTTGCTGTGACCCTCACGGGAGGCAGTGTGACACCACCCTGCCAGAAAGCAGAGGAAACTCCTTGTCGTGCTGAGTGAGGAGCTGAGCTCACAGCGTGGCGATCAGTCTGGTTTTATGGGCCACCTGCAGAAGTTGTATCTGAAGACCTAACTCAAGGCCAAACTGAAGCTGGTTTGTGGACATGGATGGGAGAAGGATCAAGCAGTGCTCAGTCCCCTGGGCTTCCTTCAGTGGTGCTGTGCAAGAGACAGAGAGATGATCTGGTCAGACATTGGAATAGGCTGCCCAGAGAGGGGGTTGAGTTAACATGCCTGGAGATGTTTAAAAAATGTGTAGATGTGGCACTTCACGATATGGTTTAGCAGGCATGGTGGTGTTGGGTTGATGATTGGACCTGATGATCTTAGAGGTCTTTTCCAACCTATGATTCTATGAAATGTGTGGGGACGTCTAGTCCTCCTCAGTGAGGAGCCCAGAGAGTTCATCTAGGACAAGCAAGACCTGCAGCTGGGTTGTGCTTAAAATCTCCAGGCTCTAGGGATTTCAGTCTTGATACTGGAAAGAGGCGGTGGGAAAGAGGATCCTTTGGTGTAGGTAATACCGTCCATCCCTTCTCATGTGTCACCATGGCCTGCTCCCACCTGCCGTGCTATCACAGTGCTGCCACATCCTCCTTCGAACTCTAGACTCAAGAGTGAAAAAGCTCTAGAACAACCTGAAACAGCGGCCGAAAATCTCAGCTGCACAGTTTTAGGGGCTGAATTGTATTGAGGACAATATTCCTGCATGCCACTGAGGTCCTAGCTGACCTTGGAGGTACGCTGAAGTCTTCTAACATCGAAATTTCTGCTAGCAGTGCTTTCTAAGTGCTCACATATCTGCCGCTTTGCAGGTGGACACTTATTTACACTCTGAAGTACTGAGCTCCTTGCTGCTCACCTCACACCCACTTCAGGTCAGATGTCACAGCCAGACGCTTTCATCTCCTTCAGCACTTGCTGGCCCCAAACTGGTGCGCATTTCCAGGGCACAGCCAACCTAGGCAAGCGACAACAACCCCTCTGCTTGCTTAGATACAGACTCAGGCTGAAGTTCTTCATTTCCCTTTTGTAACTCAGAGCTTTAGCTCTGCCGTTTGATGCTGTTGCCTTTTCCAAGCAGTATAACTAAAAACAGATACTGAGTGCAACGTTAAGGCCACTTTCCAGGACAAAGACAGCTTGTGTTTTTGTCAGTTATCACAGACAGCAAACTTCAATGCACAATGGCCATAAAGCATTCAGAAGAGAGAAGTAACTTGCCATATCCTATAACCTAATTTTTAATTGCATTTGCCCAGGAATCAATGAGTTTCTATCTTCTGAGGAACATGAACCTGCCACTGTCCTCTTGGGTGAGGGTTTTAACCAAAAGATCAGTTCCTCCACAGAGGAGAGCCGTCTTCTTACCTGAATTCTCTGGGAAACAAAGGCTGTAATTTATGGTTCTTTGCACTAAATGGCCCTTCAGTGACAAACTTCACAGCTGTATGTGCCTGGGGTTGTGGTGCTGTTCCTGAGCCACCAGGAGAGGATTCCTGGTGCTTCTAGTTGCTCTTGAAGTCAGCTTTTAGTTTTCAGAGTGCCTGGAGTTGACACTGTCTATACAGACTCGTAACAGCTCCCAGATAGTTAAACTGCTTTCAGTGAAGATAATTTTGCAGAGGAGGATAAATGTCATCAGCTCTGTTTTGATGTGAGGTCACAAAAACACCAAGACCCGAGTCCACAGAGGAACAGGGATGAGCTGTGAGCAGGTCCTCCACGTCTGTGAGAAACGGGATAACGCTGCTGGAGCCCATCGCCGGCAGAGGCAAGTTCAGACCCCAAGTCTCAAGAGAGAACTCCTTGCATGGGATGTCACCCATCAGCACTGCTCTGAACTGGCTGATCCCAGTGTGCTGCCTGCTGTTACACCAGGACCAGCAAAGAGGAGACCGTGCTGTGTGTGCTCATGGTGGTCATTCTTTCTTTGTTTCCAGACAAAAGGTGCTGCTGGTGGGAAATGAACCCCTGCTGAATTTTGTATTCTCTCTGCATTTCTCTGTCAGCCGCAACCCAAGTAATGATCTGCCACCTCCAATTAATCTCTTCTCCATTTCTCACCTTGTCACGTCACATAATTAACCTCTCCTACACAGAAGGGTTTCACCAGACAATGGTTTGCTACTGGCGGCCCTCATGAGAGCAAAGATCTCTAAACTCTTTCCTTGCTTGACTAAGACAATGATCATTTGTAAATGTTTCTGCTTGTGTGTTAGGTCTCCTTACTTTTCAGGATTGGGTTTTCCTTTCAACCCTCCGATTTGCATCCTCCCTGCTCATTCTTCCCAAGGCTGATGCCCAAGGCTGATGCCCAAGGCCAGACCTCTCTGTGCAGCCCGCCAGAGACCAGTCACGGCTGTTCTCCCGGTGAGAGGCTTTGCAATGCTGTGTTGACCCTGGATACCAATTCCTGAGGAAAATAAAGTAAAATTACCTCCCCCCTGTGCTCCTTCCCATTCAAAACAGGTTCTGAATGGGCTTTAGTGGCAAGTACAATCACACAATTATCTGTATTCGATGCAAACAAAGAGGAAGCTAGGGGATGGGGATGGGACACAGCCTCTTTCTTCTCCAGAAGGCTGGCTCGTAGCCAGCCCGCAGTACATGGGGTGAAGAATGCACACACTCATGAGAAAAGAGCCAACAGATTAAAATGAAGAAGTATCCACCATGTAGACATGCACCAGCTTTGATGGCTACCTCAACAGAGAGGTATCACACCAAGGCTACTGAGAAGGGTGAATTCCTCTGACGACTCTAGTGGGGGCTAAGGGAAATGTTGATGGAGGGTGATTTCAAACAGTTTATGTTGCTCCACGGAGAGATGATTTTTGGCTTTCAAGCTCTATTCTGAAATCCAGGGCAACAGCAAGAGCAGGGTTGGCCACCAAGCCCAAGGAAGAGGTGGGGCATTTTCCCATAGTCTGGCATTGACCCACCTACAACCTGGAGCATCACGTGCACACTGGCAAATAAAGACCTGAGCTCTGGCCCTGTAGTTATGGCATCTTTTCTTACTAGACCAGATGTGAAGACGTACTTGGAGGGGGTGACTTGGCGTCTGGAGTAGCTGCTGGCAGCGTTCAACCTGCCCAACTTGCACATGCAAGTGCCCTTGGGCACCCTCTCCACTGGCAAAGATGTGCAGGCATCTCCAGCCTTCTCCAGAGACCAGCCAATGGATCCTGTCCTAGCAGATGTCTGTGCATCAGCAGTATGGACCTGGTCTGTCCTGACAGTGGGACATCCTCCCAAAGAGGAGCTGCCCCGCAGGTTCCCCTAATCCCTTGACTTGCGGTGCTGGGCTCAGCTCATTTGCATGGGAACTGGTAGGTTGGAAGGACTTGGCAGTTTTCCTACACTGGGGACACAGGGGAAAGGCCGTGCCGACCTCTGCCAACAGCTTCTGGCAGCAAATGTCTCCTCGCTGTAAGCATGAAGGGCAGGACGAGGGTGAGTATTTGAGCCAGAGCTGTCCTGCCAGGCGTCTCCATGCAGTCCTGCCCCATGAGCCTCTCACGCAGGGATGGTTAATCTCACATGTCAGGGTTGGGCTGGTTCCATGGGCCAAGAAGATGGTAACTAGCACCTGTCCTCCTGGCCCTGGTTGTCGGTCTTTCCTTCACTTCTTTAACCTGTAAGCTGGAACCAGGCTAGGGGACAAAGGGGATCTCCACAGTCCCTTAAAGCAACCGCTGCACAAAGCTGCCCATTTTAAAGCTAAGCAGGTTTCTCCTGCCTCTCCATGTGCTTTCTGCAGACTCAGATTCCTCTCCATCCATCACACATCTCATCTCTGGATATCCTGCTGTTCTCTCACCTAATGAAGCTTGATTCCCTCATTCCCTACAGGTCTTTCCTTCCCCATCTCTCCCTCTGTGCTTCAGTATGACCCGACCTCCCCTCTAGCACCTGTCCAGAGCTTCTCCTGGTAGCATCTACCCTAACTCCCAGGCTTTGTTCTCTTATGCGCCCATCCAAGACTACTCTAAATCCACTCTACAGGAGCTATAGTTTGCCCATAAAATGTGAAACATAATCAAAACTTGGTGCTTAGGCTGATGCACCTCTGCTGTTTTGCCCCAGATACAGAGCTGTCCCCTGACTACATCCCAACAGGGAGCCGATGCCTTGGTGCCACCACCACCTCCTGGTGTCTCCTGGGGGGCACTGAGGAGGACAGGTCCTCTCAAACTGGGGATGGCATGTGTTCGCTGGCCTTGCATTGCTGTCGGTTGTTTTAACAAGCACCGGGTGCTTCCTGAGCAGCACAAGAGCTCGGTTCCCCAACATTATAGGGCTTTCACCATCCTCCTTGAGGGAAACAAACTGCTTCTTTGTGAGACAATTTTACAGAGAGGTGCTCATTCGATGCAGGTTATAATCAATTGGCAAGCATTTTTCATAGCTGATGGGTGGGCCTGATCCTGGTCTCAGCTGAACCAGGGGCTGGTCAAAAAGTCAACAGCTCCAGCCCTCCCAATTTTGTGGACATCCGTGGGTTCTGGACCAGTTCTTTGTGGGGATCAGGACCAGGCTCACCAACCAGCCTGAGGACATACCAAACATGTGCAAGCTGCTTGGGGAGCACTCTGCAGAGCCACTTGTCATGGGGCAAATTCCAACTCAGGGGTGGCATATTGTTGTCATGCACCAGCTGATTGCTCTGACAGCTTTGCAATGATGCTCTTTCTCTGCTTCCAGGACCCCTGAACAAAACACTGGTGCTACAGACCAAGAACCAAGTACCTTAGTGCAGGACCAACGCACATGAAGTCGAGCACTTTCTTCTGAGCGGCGGTTGGAGCAAGTGTATAGTCTGCATGAAATGTATATCTTCTGGCTGGCATATAATAAAGCTGATGATAAGAGTTGAATGACAATTTCTCTTGTCTCTCAAGCACTGAGAAGTTATGGTTGCCAGGCTCTGTGTAATGCAGTTAGCATGTCTGTGCCTTGACTTATATTCAGTAAAGTCAGAGAAAGAAAAGCGGGTCAAATTCTCCCTTTATTTATAGCTGTGAAATGGCACGGGTTTCAATGGTCTCTCTAGATTACATGGGCAACAGAGAGATCAGATTCACATCCATAACTCATGGAAATATCATACTGGATTTCAGAAGTTACCCTAGAAGCCTAGTCGATAGGAGCAGCAACACTTTTCAAAAACCTTTGGAAGATTTAATGCACTACAAATTCTTAACAGCTGTCAGGATCTTGCATTTGGATGTCACCAGGTGAAACACACCTTGTGCAACATCTGGCAGATCCCCTTGTCATTGTGTTGTAGCCAAGAACATCTCAGACCTTCTGAGATTGTTAACGTTCAATTTGTTCAATTTGCCATTTAGGGCAAATGCTGGACAAGACACCAAAACTTGCTGGCAAACTTTCTTCTCAGCATATTTTCCAAAAATGTTTCACTGAAAAGTTGTAAAGTATGAACTGGAAATGCTGTAGGAGAAATGTAGCTGGTTCGTGGGATTAGCAGGTCTGGTTATTCTGCATGCACATCTTTTCTGTGTGAGGCTCCCTATGTCCGTAAGGCGTATGCAGCACATGATGGGAGATGTAGTCCAGCCCTACAGCCTGTCCCTTCTAGATGTCTAAGTGCATGAAGTACCCAGACTGCAGTTCCAGCAAGGCACTGACCCAGCACACTCCAATAAATGCTTCTAGGTTTAGGCTGAAGTGTTTTAATGCTTAGAGGTGAGATTTGCTTTACTTTCCACAAGCACTAACTTTAAGCAGAAACCTGCTCTTCTTTCCCAAATTAATTATGTAAGGCAGGTACTTCATCAGAGGTGGGGAGAGCTGGGCAGCTTCCATGGAGCATGGCAGCTCCAAAGCCCTCCAAAACCAGAGGGTCTGGTTTGCTGGGTCTGGTTCAGGAGGAAACTGCTTTGAGATTGGAGAAGTCATCCAAGTATTTCAAAGTGAAAATACAAGCCCATGATACACCTGCATCAGTACTCCTCCTGTACAGACCCCTGTTCTGTGCAGCAATGGCTGGATCAACTTGAAAATGAGTGAATGTTTTAGGACATCCAGTCTCCTTCATTCACTGAGACCCTTGATTACTTCTGCTATTTGCTATTCGTGTTGTACTACTGCTAAGGCACCCTGTGATGGGGTGCCAAGAGCGGTACAGACACGGGTCTAAAACACAGCGACCCACCCGAAAGACCTTGAAGGCAAAGCAGGATCCCAAAATTGAATCAAGTCTCTTGATGTTCACGTTGTGGCAGGTTCTCTTTGGCAACGGGAAGGTTGGAAAGAACCTCTTTGTTAAAGGGATAAAATACAGAGGAATATTTGCAGCGACAGCGTTTGTACAAGCCAAGAAGAAATTAGAGTAAATCCAATCACTGAACCATTGCAAAGCACCTCCGAGAAGATGTGAATAGTAACTAATGACATATTCAATACAAAGGGAAGTAGATTACATGCCTGAGAATAATTGCACCGAGCGCGTGCCTCGCTCAGTAGCTGAAGGGTCCTTGTTACACATGATTAAGTAATTAACATTTTTTTGTGTATAATTACCATGATTGCACAATTATTAGAGAGGAGCCCGGTCCAAAGCTCCAGAGCCAGACATCCGTGGCCTGCAGGAGGTTTTGCTTCAGATCCCTAGAGCTGCTGCTGTCCCAGGGAAACGGGAGCTGGCAGGCATCTGGCTGTTGCTCTTTGATGTCTCGGGGCACATCACTTGTCTCTGAATCAGATGTACCCGAGGAAAAAAGGCGCCATAGATCCAGTCAGCCAAGGATCTTATCTGTACACAATTATTTGTGGTAACCCAGATCTTCAGGGAGAAGCATTGCCCAGACATCCATGGTGGAGGACATGAGAAAAAAGTCTTGTTCTCCCATCAGTATCTGATCTTCAGAGAGCTGGCTCGGAGGGGCAGAAAAGCCGATCCTAACATTCACCAAAATACAGACATTTTTTCTGCCTCTTCAGCACCTTAAGCAACTCATCACAGATCACAGAATAACAGAATAGTAGGGGTTGGAAGGGACCTCTGTGGGTCATCTAGTCCAACTCCCCTGCTGAAGCAGGGTCACCTACAGCAGGCTGCACAGGATCTTGTCCAGGCGGGTCTTGAATATCTCCAGAGAAGGAGACTCCACAACCTCCCTGGGCAGCCTGTTCCAGTGCTCCGTCCGAGAGTGGGAACAAGTGGCCACCAATTTTTATTTCACCCATGGAAACTGCAGGGAAGTGTGTCCGAAGTAAGAAGGTGAAATTTCACAGAGGTAGGTTTTGAAACAGTGGAGTTGATTTGAATGTTGACGCAAATCAAGGGAGAAGATACCCCCCTTTAAATAACATTTATGTAACTCATACATAACCACATTTTTTTCACTAGGCTGGGTATGATATTTCAGACCGACCAAAAGAAAAATAAAATCAAAATTTCATTTCATACAGAAATGCAATGTTCTGGTCTAACTCAGCATCTCCCCCTTCTCACCCCCAAAATTTTTATTTTGCCAGAGGCTACAACATTTACTGTTTATTAAGAAAAAAATAACCATTACTGTATCCTGGCAAATTCTGTTCTCCACTGCTAATATTTCCCTCCCACCTTCTTCTGGTGCCAGCTGCCATCCTCAGCCTCTTGCTTCCTTCCATGTCTCTTTCCATGTAGCTCTTCTTCCCATACACAATATGTCCCACTCAGGTTCCTCCTACTCTCAAAAATAATTGAGTTACCAACTGTCATATTGTATGTAGTTTTCTACCATGCTTCTCTTTTTAGATCACAAAGTATTTGTGGCTGGCGGTTTCCCTCATTTTGTGCTATTCACTGCTCTCCTTGTCTTTTCGCTTATCCTGAGGTATTACTGTAATAGACGTGATTAACAGGAATTATCCTCCCACCAGCAAGACTAATTCAATGCAGCTGAATTTTGCAGGACTGCTTTTATCTGTAGTGTACTTGGTACATCCTTACAACCTTGGCTGTGCTTTGCATCTGCAGCGATGCAAATCTGTAAGTCTGAGAAGGGAATCCCCCAAAGCAAGGCAAAGCGAAGGCTAAAACAGGAGCAACACAGGAGACCAGAAATTAGAGCAGGGAAAGAAAAGGAATATTTCCAGATTTGAAAATGAATAAAAGGAGGAATTTTTTCAGGAGGATGTTTCAGACTGGATTTCACCTTTTGTAGGTCCCAGGCTTCACAGATTTGAGGACTTTCACTGATTTTCAGGGAGAAGCATTGCCCAGGGCTGAGGAGACGTGTAAAGTTCACAGGATGCACTTTGCCCACCAGCAGCATTGGCAGCTTGAACATGGATTAATGCTGCAAAACTCCTTATCTGATGGGTTATTTCCATTTAATGAGGCAGTGACTGAAGGAGCTCCGTGGCTGTGGACAGCTCCCAGACAGATCTGTCGAGGATCAGGGCAGAACTGGGGAGGGATTCCATTAGGATTTGAGGCCAGCAGCATCCATGGTGTAAAGTGGCCAAAAGTGCTGGAATTGCATCTGTTGGATTTGCCCTTCTGATTTATGGGGCACTTCCTCAGAAGGGTGTAAATCCCCTCAACTGGACTGATTCCTTGCTGGTTTCCACCAGCCAAGGTCTGTCCAAATGGCACAGAATATGCAACAGCTCTTTTTAATGCTGTGAATAGCATGTCGGTTTGGTTTGGTTGCTTCTCCCCCCACCCCCACAATGATTCCTAGATGACTTATGCTCCCTTGTTCCTTCAAGGCTCTTGAAAATCCCGACCTGAATTATTTAACCTCTATTCACCCTCCCTTTCCTCCATTCTCTTTTCTCTTTTGTTTCCTTCACCTTGATGTGTTTATCTCCCACTCTGTCATTCCAGCCACTTCATTTCTCATTCTACCCTCATGCATCTTTCATAGTTTACCCCTCTTTGCTCTTGTGAGGGGCAGGTTTTCCTATTTGGTGGCAATCATGTTTGGTGACATATCTAGGTTACTGTCAGGACTCCTTCACTGTGTAAAATGTCTTTCATTTTTTATGGATCTGCTTTAATAATTTATCCCCCATCAATGATGTATAATGAAATCACTGTCCTGAAATGGCTTTTCCATGTTGAGATAATGGAACAGAGACAGACTGGAAGATACTAATCCTGGGTGGCATTTTGTTGCAAAATAAGCCACAAGTTTCTGGGGAAGGAGAAAGCTGAAATAGCTGAGAAGATGCTGTTGTTTGGGGTCTGGATCAGCAGAGAAAGGGATGGACCTGTCTTTGCCTATAATGCAAAACATTTGGAGTTACATGAACCATCATGATACTCTCACTGGTGGCTGTTGGCTCAGAGCTAACCAGCATGGAGATGAACCACCAACAACAGCAAGACCCAAAACATCCTTCCTGTGAAGTAGTAGCCACACATCTTGGAATGCCAAAATCACTCCATCACTTACCTTCCCTGAACTGCAAATTTCCTCTCTGTGGTCCAAAATGGATCATAAGATGTAACCGAGGCTTATGACGCTCACCGCATCTTAAATTGATGGTGGTAGGAGAGCTGCTGTCAGCCTGGTGATCTAGGGATACCTGTGAGGTGAGATTGGTAGCAAGGCTGGTGTTGCGTTTTATTGGAAGAGAAACAGGGTTTGAGAGGAGACTTTCTCAGGATCACAACTCCTGCACCAAATCAAGCTGAGGCTGGTGGTCCAGACCCTAGGAGGGTTAATTAAGGAATTAAATGCACACACGCAGTATTTAATAGGCACAACCTATTATAAGGTACAGCCAGAATCCTCTTAATTTTCAGATGCCGTGACAGGAACGTGCGTGGGCCAGATCCTGGTGTAAAATGGCACCGTGACATTGCTTTGAACCTTGGCTTTGGAGGAGCGCGGATGACTTAA